AAAATAGAATTATTTCAACTTTATTATTATTTTATAATTTGATGAGAGAGAGAGAGAGGAAGTGACAAAGGAAGCAACCAAGTCCAGTACTTGAACCATGGTTGGCCATGTGGGTGTCAGTGCCTGACAGTGAGAGGGAAAGTGAGAAATCACTCCCAGGATGCGGGAGTGGCCATACTACAATCCCTTCTCCTCCTGAGATTGTGGGCATGTATACACATGTACCCGGTGTGATTTTTCAAGCCATCAGGTCAGGGATTTAAACTGTGGTCAACCATGCGGGAGTACAGTGCCTTAACCACCACACCACCTACAGGCTCCTATGATTCATTTATTTGAAAACTTTCTAATTTGTCTCTGAAATTTCTCCTTGAATAACACAGTTCTTCATGTTTAATATAACATATATAGGAAATATAAAATATGCCAGAACATGAATATTACAATCAAGCATTTAAAGGCATTCAAATTATAAATATATTTATTAGGTTGTCAGAAAAGTCATGACGTATTTTTTTATGTTTTCCTATGCAAAAATGCATCATGACTTTTCTGACAACCCAATATACAGACTATAGTATACAGAAGTATATATATCTATACAGAAGTATATATATATATATATATATATATTGATTTAACTTTGTGCAGTAACATATATAGCATTTTCATAAATAAGACATTAAGACAATGACTGTAAGTTTAAAAAATGTAGTATTTAGTGGTGCAGATGAAGGACTCTGAGATCAGACTTTGGGGCCAGACTTCTGACTGCCTAACTAGAGTCTCCATTCCTCTGTAAAATGGAGATCATACCTATCTCCTAGGATTATTGTGAGAGTTAAGTGAAATAATGTATGTTAATGACTTAGGATATTATCTAGCACATGGTTAATAACAAAAAGTAGACTTTCATTAAAGTTAAATGGCAATAAGAATTGCATTCTCTAAAGTCAGTACAAGTCTGTAAGATGATTTATTTCTTAAATATAGAGAATGAGTATCTATCCATTCATCCTTCTTAATGCTTGGTTGCTCATTATGGATTGGTAAGTATGACATCATTTCTTGTATTACATTCGGGGCGGGGGGGAGAAAGAGAGAGAGAGAGAAAGGGCCTCTCCCCTCTGCTGCAGCAAAATCTTGGCTGAAAGCGGAAGAGCAGTAAACAATGTCAAGCCTAAGAGTAGTATTTAGGAAGTGTCCACAAGCAACACTCATGCTGCAGTTCGGCATTTTTCTCCTCGTTGATGAAAGTGAAAGGCGACATTTCAAAAATTCTTTCCATCTTAACCTAACACCAGAAAAAAATCCTTTTCCTTACAACCTGGAGAAATTTCTATACATAGTTCATCTGCTTTTCTACACAGAATTGATTATATAATGAATCGTTATTAATTAAAGACATATGAGGAATATTTTGAGTAAATAAAAAAAAAAGGGACCCAATGTCTGTTTCAGTGTGTACTCTTATGAAAAGCAGGAACAAGAAAATAATGGAGGAAAATGCTGTTGAATTCATTTATCTAACAAACAATTGAATCAATAGTTATTGAATTCTTACTGTGGCCCAGGCTAAAGATATGAGTGAAAAAAATCACTAAAGGAATTAACTAATGTCAAGACAATATTGATTAGGAAAACCATGACATAGATCCCTGACTGCCTTAGATTTTAATAGGCAAATGCTGTTCTGATTTGACTACCTAACAGACTATTTTAATTACACATTTTTAAAAGTACATACAATCTGTCAGAACACCCCTCTGTAAAATTTTAAATGGACCTAGACAATTTAGACACCAAGTGCCCCTTGGTGAGGTCATCTGCTACTTCTCCAACACCCAGGAAAATTACAACAGAGATCATTAGTTCTTATTGACAATATATTGAAAATACTTTTTAGCAGTTAAGTAATAATTTTACCCTTTGCTAATTTATAAAAATACCCTAAATTTTAAAATTAAAATAATGGGTTGCTGAATAAGACTGAAGATTAAGAAACAGGTTCTTACATGAAATATATGCTTTATAAACTTAGATGGAAAAATATCAAAATAGGTGTGTTTTTTTTTCTCTAAACATGAAATGTTTTCATTAACTCTGCATGAGACCTAAAAAGAAAGAATGGTCTCAGGCTTTTACAGTATTCAGGAGGAATAGTAGTCCTGTCTGGGATTCCATACATATATCTACTGAGTACTTTCTGAGGAAAAAAATGCAATGTAATTTCACATGTCCCCAAGACAAAGCCATTAGGTTTTGTTCAGTAGCTGAAATGAAGTGATTTCCTTTTTCAGAGCACATGGATTTATCTTAACAAATTCACTCTCCTGTTCAAAAACCTTATGGGATGCTGCCTACACTTTGGAAGTCTGAGGACAGTGTCATCTGCCCCTTCCCTCTTCCACAGAGACTACCCACAGCAGCAAGGCTCTTAGGAAGTGCTTGTAGAATGAATAAATTAAGGTTGTCATGATTACACGTTGCAGAGAAAATTAACCAAGGACAATGCATTAGTCTCCTTCAACTGCTACAAATATGCATACTCACAGAAATACTATCACATACATAAGGTATTTTAGAGTTGGTAGTTGAAAATGAGCTATTTTTAAGTATTTTTTCTAAATAACTAAACTTACTGCATAAAATATTTTAATAGTCTTGAAGGGAAATACTCTATGGATGTCAAGGAAATGTTTAAAAGAAATTATTGATCTCCTCAGTAAGGCAGAAAATGTCTTCCATTTTTTAAAGGCAAATTGCAAATGCAGGTTTTGTATTAAAAAAAGAAAAAGACAATCTTAAAGAATTACAGACTAGCAATATGCTTAATCACTCTTCCATATTAATATACATTCTGACGCTGAATTTAAAAATTAATATTTTTCATGTAAGATATGAGGCCCAGGATCAACGGATTCAAATGCTTTCATGGCAAGATGAAGGATTACATTTTTATGCTCTCGATTCTGACTAAAGCATATGTAAAATCAGTTCTTTTAATAACTAACAACCTTGACTTTTAAATATATCTGTTGCTAAAGACTAAAACATCAGTGAAGTTACAATATTTTATTTGCAAAACTCAACAATACTGAGTCATTCCTGGGCTTTCGTCTCCAGTGCTCATTCTACCTGGGAAGGGCAAGCCATTTCATTTAAACATTTTTTTAAAAATCACTTAGCAGATTCCTTCAGATAAAATAATTACTTAACATATGTCTCTTCAATTTAAATTAATGAATTTTCATTAAGATAAAGCATTTGGGGCCATTTTATAAACTGTCACAATGACAAAATCCAAAAATAAGCCAGACATGCTGAAATTTGTTAATAACTTGCACCACAGGTAAAAGACACATTTCTTGAGATATTGCCTATCAAAACAGCCTTGGATAATGGTATTATCTGCATAGAAAATCATCCATACTATAGACAATGATCAACGTAGGCTTAAGAATAAAAGACCAACCATTAAGAGATTAATTTAAATAAAAATATTCTAGTTCTTTCCTGATTTTACCTCACTTAAATATCCAAACAAAACATGTGGTACCTTTTAATTTTCTGAATGAGTAGTTCCCAATCAATGCTTCCTCGGTTAGAGACAATGAGCTGAAGAATCTACCGAAACAAAACAAAGGAGAAAAAACAATACATAGATTTGTTAACTAAATATCAAAACTGTAACTCACCAGTAAGCAAATGCTTTCTTTATATCCAGATAATAAATCTGTCTTGAGATCTGTTGTACAAAAAATGCAGTACTTGGATTTTTAGAAGCTCAGTAACGAATATTAAATCATTTTACTCCAAGATCACACAAAGTAGATCCTTTGAAAAATGAATCAAAACCAAACCAAAATAAAATAAAAAACCCCAAACCATTACCAGAGCATATGCAGCAATACCACCCAAGTCTAGCCTTTGAGAACTGCTGCAGAATTCTTCCCCTGGAGCATTATCCCCACTGGCTGGCTCTCTGGCTCCCCAGCTCCAGACAGACGCAGTCTGCAAGCCACCAGCTCGTGTCTGTGTGTGTCGGGGAAAGGGAAGCTGCAAATTAGAAAAAGTCCCCGCAGTGGCGAAAAGGAAAATAAGGCGAGTGGGAGAGGGAGAGAGAGCTCACTAGCCTCAGAATTTTCGAGAATGATGACAAGCCACTCAGCTCCGCCATCATTCACTCACAATAGGATGCAGCTCTGGCTTACGATTTAGCGGTTTGCCATAGGGCTTCTGGTACCAAATGCCTGACAGGCATTTTAATTGCCTCCATCCAAGTGTGTCCCCAGGAGTCGAGTCTATAAGCCTATGAATGTCATCATCTGGTCTCCTTTGTGTTAATGCCAGGCGGCACACGCACACACACACACACACACACACACACACACACACACACACACAGAGCATGCCTAAATAGAAAGACAGTTTTCAGACATACAGGATTACAAACAAGTTAAGCTACACAAACTAAACATAGCTAAACAATATTTTATCAGAATTCTCATTATTCGTGTAAAGAATAGCAGGGATTCTTTGATGTCTTGACACTGGCAGATAATTACAATGATCTTTAAGCTATTGCCTATTTATATTACAAAATAAACAATAGTGTTCATTAGATAAATGAATATTGTTATGTCTGCTTTCATACGGAAAATCCAGTCCCCTTGTACCTATGATAACTATGAACTTAGAGATGTTTTCTTTATAGGGAGAAGGCAGAAAAAAAAAACAAAGAAGATTAGAAAGCCAGGGTTGAGATGTGATTTTCATGGGCAATCTATTTTATTCCCATTTATATACAAAAGTAAAAGGAGGTGGCAACCACTTTGAGTACTGAGACTTTACAGTCCCTTGAGGGTCAAGGCAGGGATTGAATCTCTGGCATAATCAGGATCCCCTTCATATTAGGAACTGAAATTAACAGTTGAATATCCATGTTTTACAGTGCTCTTTATGTCGGGTGGTTAAGTGTGGAATAATTCCCTGCCTTTATTGCCTGAGGGAAAGGAAAGGAGAAAAATGTTAATAAATAAATGATTTTGTCGGCATTGTTAGTGCCCTGTCCCAGTGAATGGAGCAAAAATTTGATGTGTACCAATAGAACCAGCTGCAAAAGAAGGTTGCTGGGAGGAAGCATCACCATGGTTACCGGAAACAGAAAGTAAGGAGAAAAAAATAAGGTGATGATAAAGAAGAGAGTGTGAGACTCCAGTGGAGAAAATGTAGAGACAGAATGATAGGCTTTATTCTTTTCCTTCTTGAAAGAATTGTCCCTGTCAGATGCATACTGAATTTTAAATGCATTAAGGTGAATTGCATTCTTCTTCAGTCACCTTTCTTCCTCGATTTTTGATCACTAGCTAATTTTGCTTTCATAAATATTCAAATCATGGTTCTTTTGTTTGAGATTGATCCTGTTTCCCCTGCCTCTGTCTATATACTGGGTTCATGGAAACTATTCAGCCCAGCCCATACCCTTTGTTTCATAGGTGAGAAAGCTGAGGCCCAGGGAGTCGGACCAAGGTCACACAACAGGCACCAGCTGGGCTTCCTGACTCAGTCTCTAGCATTTCTTCCTTCACCAAGCGACTTTCTCTCCTGTCTCTCTCATCTGTCTGCAAGTGAAATAGATTCCACAAACATCTTTTGTCTTTCATTTTGTAAGCCTTCTGGTATTGGCTAAAGCAGGGAACATGGTTTTTGACATGCTTTGCAATCATTCTGAGGACTAGCTTTGCTTGGTATTGGGCTGGATTGTATTTGATGTCTGAAGAACCTGAGGTAATTATACCAACAACTTTTTTTCATTTCTAGTCATTTCTCGTCATTCTTAATTCACTTGATGAATTAAGGAGGTTTGCAGTTTTGTGGACCTGTCGTGTCGAACCTAAACATCATACACTAGGTGGTCTATCATCGCTGGCACCACGGAATTGGAGAAACACTTGAGTTGACCTTCCAAGGTTCCTCCTAGTAATAGACAATATGAACCTTCCTGAGGTTATTCAAAACAATGAAGCTGAAAAATTGAGAGCTCAGGCCAAAAGAAAAAAACAAAACAAAACAAAGTCCACTTAAGAACAACCACTGGAGGGCGCAGTATTTGTTAAAATCTTTCTTAACTGCTCAGTAAAAATTGTGGCTAAAATTTTGACCTTGATATTTTACAGTTTTTATTTTCTTTTAAAGGTGATTTTCCAAATTGAGTTCTAATGACTCATTGTTTTTAGGTTAACTCATCTATAGATGGGGTCATATTGCCTTTTTTTTTCTTTTTTTGAGTTTTTTGCCCTATAGGGCATGTGCACTCGCCAGAAAGACAGAGAGAGACAGAGACAGAAAGCAAGAAATCACCCCTCAAGGAGGATGTCCATGCTCCAATCCCATTTCCTCCATTCTCCTCTCGGGATCTTAGGCACACACGTACATGTACCCAGCGTGAGTTTAAGCCACCGGGTCTAGGACTCGAACCACAGTTGACTACATGGGAGTCCAGCGACATAGCCATTATGCCAACTGCTGGTCCTGATATTGCCTTTTTGATGTCTAAATACAATTACTGCTGCCACCACCATCCTCTTTCACTGGAACATCAGCTATAAAATAAATAAATGACATTTAAAAAAAATATGATTACAGGCCCAGCAGGTAGTGTGATGGGTTAGGCATTGGTCTCTCACATGGCTGACTGCAGTTTGAGTCCCAGACCTGGTGGCTTACTTTCTCACTTTCTTTTGCTCTTCCTCTCTCTCCTTGTTTCTCTCTTGTGAACACATGTACCCTATAGTAAATAAAAAAATAATACATTAATTAAATTAACTGAATATATCTTTAAAAGATATATGACTGCCATAGGTAATAATTAAAAGATAGTTCTGGTCTTAGTGGGTCCCACAAATGGTTGGAATTATTCCCTCAAAAAAAGTGTCCCTGTAAATATGGTCTCTCTGTTAAGTGTTTTCCTTCAGTGATTTTGAATGATAACGTAATTTTTCAAAGTGAATGCTTTATTTCAATATATTGCTATGTGATCACTTCTGAACACACAAAAAATGATACATAAGACTGTCATCTCTTGAAACATGAATCATATTCAATCAAGATCTCATAAAGCACACATAATGGCTCCAATTTGCCTATAATAAGCACAGTTTGCAAAAACAGGTAGAGATCATTAGGGATCCCAAAGATCTCTGAGATCATTTAATATTTAGGGATACTCAATTCAGCATATAGAATGAGTTGGTACATTCTTTTATGTTTCTTCTTTCTTTTTCTATTTGTTTCTAATGTGAGGTGAACACGCATATAAACCATAATCACTGCCTTCGGTTACGTGATTTTGGAATACACGATTACTGAAAATTTCTTCCGTGAACTTTTAGATTCTTCATATTTATGCCTATGAATCTAAACTGGGGTGCTCTCTTTACTGTTCCCCTTGGACAGCATTCCAGACCTTGGCTTAAAACCATCTATTACTTCATTTACATAATTGTGACGACACATACACACATATTTAAGAAACTTGACAAGGTCCAGAAATGGGATAAAAAATAAGAAAGAGTATTGCATCCTCAAAGAACTTAGATTTTAGAAGAGGGAGCATATATTAATAAGTAAAGAGAAACTTCACACTTCTTTTCTCACTTTGATAAAATACTACCACTAACGTACAACATAAACGTTAGAGGTGATAAATTTGTACTATTACATTGTACCCCATAAATATATACAATTATGATTTGTCCATTGAAAGTATTATTAAAAATAAACAATGAAATGTGGTATAATCATATAATAGGATATTATTTGGCAATAAAAAGAATAAAGTATTGATACATACTACAACATGAAAGAACATCAAAAACATTGTATTAAGTGAAAAAAGTCAGTTACAAAAGGCCATATACTGTATAATTTTATTTATATAAACTGTCTAGACTAGTCAATCCACAGAAACAAAGTATATTAGAGGTTGCCAAAGGCTGCAGATAATGAGTAATCCCCAACTGCTAAACAGCACAAGTATTCTTTCTTAGTTATTTAAAATAATCTAAAATTAGAAAATGGTAATGGTCACACAACTCTGAATATGCCAAAAATTACTGAATTGTATACATTAAAAAACACATAGAAATAATCTAATTTTTTTGAGAGGTTTTCGCTATAGGGTATGTGCGCTCGCCAGACAGAGAGAGACATAGAGACAGAAAGCAAGAAGTCATCCCCCAGGGGGGATGGTCACGTCTCAATCCCTTCTCCTCCATTCTCCTCTCGGGATCTTGGGCACGCACGCACACACGCCCAGTGTGAGTTCTAAGCCACCAGGTCCGGGACGCGAACTGCAGTCGACTACGTGGGAGTCCAGCAACATAGCCATTACACTAACTGCTGGTTCCCGAAATAATCTAATTTTTAATGGTCAATCAGGGGCCAGCAGGTAGTATGGTGGTTAAGGTGCTGGACTCCCATATGGCCAACCATGGTTTTAGTCCCGGATCTAGCTTGAAAAATCATGCTAGGCAGATGTGTGTGTGTGTGCCCAAACTCCTGAGAGGAGAATGGAGAAGAAGAGATATCGGCGTGGCTTTCACCCCAGGGGGTAATTTCTCACT